GCACACAGGGTCAAATGCTCTAGGTGCATCAGGCGCCGGTAAGTCATGACTAGGTTTGATGATGCCTAAGGAGTCCCATTTGTAGGAGTCTTTCGGTACAAGATCAAGGAGAGTCTTGTCTTCGTGTGCGCTTGATTTCAGGTGATCAAAGATGGGATGCTTGTCACGGAAGTAAACTAGCTTCAGTCCCTTTGTGCCATTTAGATATTGAAGGAGTTCTTTAAGGAGGACCACATGTTGCTCGGTTGGACCATGCATGCCTCTGGAGACTCGACTTACAGCCTGAGTAATATCGGGTCTGCAAGTGATACTTATGTAAATAAGAGAGCCAACAATAGATGCATAGTTCTTAGTATCATGAAGGTACGCCATTAACTCCTTGGGATCCTTGACAAGAGGTTTAGCATCCGATCTCATTGGGGTAGCTTTCGTCCCTATGCTGTTTAGGATTGTTCGTTCTTTGAAGAGTGCGTTAAGCTTCTCCTCAACGTCCATAGCAAGGCGCCCACGGTGCTTGTCATATTTGATGTTGATACCAAGGAAGCTGGACATAGGCTCAAACTGTGAGATGTTGAACTCAGCCTTAAGCTGGTTTTTGAGTTCGACTACCATTCTCGGTGAGCCACTGATAACAAGATCGTCCACTTCGCAAAGGACAAAGAGATTTTCCCGTAAGCCGTCTGATTGCACTTTGGTCTTGTGATACAAAGAGGTTTCCGACGTTGCACGCGTGAATCCTAACTTTTCAAAGAAGGATGTCAAAGCTTTGTTCCAAAGCTGTGGAGATTGTTTAAGTCCATAAAGTGCTTTGCGCAACTTAACAACGTCACCTGATTTACCGTTACGTTCAACAGTGACGCCTCTTGGAAACTTAAGATAGGAATCACCATCAATCTGACTTTGTATAAAAGCCTGTGGAATATCGCAGTGCCAAATATCGAAGCTTTGATTAACTGCCAGGGAGAACATCATTCGTACAGCGGTAAGAGAAGCCATGGGACTGAAAGTGCTAAAGAAGTCTACGCCAAGGCGCGCAAGAAAGCCGCGCGCAACGAGGCGAGCTTTGTGCTTGTCATAAGCTCCATCGGCTCTATATTTGACCTTGAGGACAATTCGTGAGTCAATGGGTCTAGCGCGATCAGGCATAGGAACTAGTTCAAATGCACCAATAGAGCAGAGGTCATGTATTTCCTTTGCTATGGCCTCTATCATTTTGGGTCTTTGCTCAATTGGTGTCTTTGCTAGGTCTGCTAGCTTGCTCGTATCAATTCGAATGTCTTCCTTAGTGACAGTGTATAGGGCTAAGAAGATCTCTGTAGCCTGTGGAATCGCAGCTGCACCATCCTCAGTATTCTCAATGACTTGATTTGTCAAGAGAGTAAGGTAGTCCACTAGTG